CCGCCGCCTCCGGCCCTGAAGAGGCCTCCCCTGCGACTGCCTTATCTGCCGTGCCGCGAGAGGGGCAAGGGAAGTCCTAGTGGTAAATAAGGCTCGCGGGATTGGTAGCGGCGAACCCGGCGGCCCGGGGCCCCTCTCAGACTGGAGCTGGTGCTGGCCTGGCAGAGGAGGGGGGAAGTCCTCCCTGACCTTGGCGTCAATCGGCTGCTGCGCGCTCGCCGCGCTAGCCAGGCGCCAGCAGCGGCAGGGGGGACGACTACTCGCGCGTGGCCAAAAACAGCTGGACGCGCTCGTGACATATTGTGTCTGGGCGAGCGGTAGCGCGGGGCGCGGGTAGCGGGCGGTAGAGCGGCGAGTAGCGGTCGACTACTAGCCTAGCCATAGGCGCCAGCGGCAGGACTCGCACGCGACCACAAAAAAAAAACAGCTGGGCGCAGTCCTGACACTACTTTCTGAACGAGCGGTGTTTTGCTCCTATGCCTTCGGCTCGGTTCTCGTTTGGACTCTTTGGTCGGCTGGGCTGGGCTCTGGCTGGGGCAGGCTGGGCTCGGCGCGGTGTCGTGCGTGGGCGTGTGCAGCTGTCGCGCTGCGTGGTCAGGCGTGGTTCACTGCCCCGGCCACCACGCCCGGCCCCGGCCCGTCCCCCTCGCCATTATAATGCCCTCTCATTCGGGTGGGTCGCAACGCAAACGCCACGCTGCAGGACGGGACAGTAGACAGGGCGCCGACCAACAGAGGACAACCTAAGGACATCGCGTCACGTGCAGGACAGCCCCGGCGAGTCCGCCACGCATGGCAACCGCTGGCCCTGGCCCTTCTGCTGGACCGCCACCTGGGCCGGATAGCCTGTAAACAGCTGGAATTTGATCTCGGAATCCCCGGGGCGGGCTGCGACGTGGGTGGGGGGGGAGGTGGTCTTTGGGCCTTCCCCCCGTCCCCGCGGCCCCGAGCCCGGCCCCTCCGGCACGCGTGTCCCCGCGAAAGCGCGAACAGTCGATTCCCCGGGCTGATGCCACAGTCGTCTGCGTTTGCGAATCTGGCCTCATGACTGTAGGACCTACTATATCATGCTGGCCTCTTGACTTACCTCTATCTAATGGCGAGGTGGGCGCGCTTTGAGCTTTCCTGCGCAATGCCTATTCTTGTCATCGGGGCCGACGGCGGTCTCTTGGGGGTGCAGCTGGAGCCGGAAGGAGGGAGGGCGGGCGGACACAGATGGCGCTCACCTCTGAACTCTGTTTGTTTCAGACTGCACGGCTCGTACGAGGCGCTCAAGTACGGCACCCTGCTGGACGGTCTCGCCGACCTGACGGGCGGCATCACCGAGAGCATCTCCATCCGCCAGGACCCCACGCACTGCAGCCGCCTGCTCAACAAGCTCCTCGACATGACGTCCCTCATCACCTGCACCGTGCACGCTCCGCAGGTAATACAACATGATCCAAAATACAAAATTAAAAAAAAAACTGAGGCAAACAAACGTTTTTTCTAAACTCTACGATTATTCTTACATAGGTCCGAAATCAGCCGGAAAAACTGGCAAACGGCATCCACATCGGTACGAACTACAGACTGTACGCGATCGAGAGGGTGAGTTTTCCGTCTCTTTTGCGTTGCTGTCGGTGGACTATGTCGTGATGACTGTTTCTAACACCAGGTGGAGACGCTGGGCGGCGAGGCTGTGCAGCTGGTGAAGTTGAGGCACCCGCAGGGCGCCGCCGACGTGGTGGGCGCCTGGTCCAGGGACTCCCTCATGTGGGACGAGCTCCCCGCCGTGGAGAGGGACAGGCTCAGCGGCAAGCACCTCGGCGACGGAGAGTTCTGGTCGGTTCACCATCTGTCGAGTGCAATGAAAACATGGCAGCGCAATTTTTGAGGTGTTCACTGATTCCCTTCCCCCACAGGATGTCGTATTCCGACTTCGTGAAGACCTTCTCCCACCTCGAGGTGGTTCACCTGGACTCGGACACCGCTCGCGACGAGCCGTCCCTGCACCATAAGAACACATGGCAGATGAGGCTGTACCAGGGGGCGTGGCAGCGCGGGGTGTCCGCAGGGGGGTGTCGAAATAACCCAGGTACGTCTTGTAACCGTGCTTGAACGGAGCAAAACAAGAACAGGCAACTTCTCTTTTTGTTTTATTTTTCATGTTGTTCATGTTACATTATTTTTCTTGTTGATACAGAGACATTTCACATAAATCCTCAACTTCATCTCATCTTATGTGAGATGGAGGAAGTGATCATTTCCTTGAACCAGCATAGTATTATGGAGCCCAAGGTATGCCCAAGCAAAAAATAAAAGCCTGTTTTCTTTTTCCTTCCTGTTGAATATACATATCTAGTCATAAAAAATCACCTTGGTTATATCTACTTTACATAGGTGATTGGATTTACTGCATATTCCTTACCCAAAGCTGGCTCAGAGACTATTGGAAAACAATTTTTCAAAAAGAACAAATCTCTTGTCAATTCCCAGTATACAAACAGTAGACAGGTTGGTCTTGGTTTCTGTGATTTTCCATCATTCATCATAATTCAAAGGCTTGGTATAACTTTTTGCTTCAATTCTAGGTGTCACACAGATGTCAGTTAGAACAAGGAGGCTATCTTGTTCTTCCCACAACATTTGAACCTGGGCAAGAGTCGAGCTTTACTTTACGTGTGTATTCAAGCAAGCCCCTAAAACTGAAGTAAGTTTCTGCTCTGGAATAAAATGTTATGTCTCGTTGATTGCTAAAAATGATTTAATGTCTTAATTTGCATATCTATTTTCCTTTCTGTTAAATAATACCAATTCCTGTCCTCCAGGCTACTGGATACTGTGCCATCCTTAGTGAAATCAGCTGTGATTAAGGTATTATTTATTGACTATTCAAAAAAAAAAAAAAAAAGGTTTCTGTTTAAAATTATGACTGTTGACCTTATTTTCTTAATCAACCAGGCGCCTGCTACATTGGATGGAAAAAGCTTCTCACAGTATGAAGCAGTATTTTTACAGCTTGCAGATGAACATAGAACTGTTAATGCTTTTGAACTACAAGAGTTACTAGATGCATGTTTGCCCAATGGTAATTTTTGATCTTCCCTTTTTATTTACATTTTTAAAAATGACTTTATCACTATAATCTTGTGATCCATTGTCACAAGGTAGAATTGGCTATGAATAATTCTATTTTCTTTTCTTTCTTTTTTTAATTATAGATTACATCAAGAGTTGTGCCTGCATGGAGGTGTGTCGTCAAGTTGTCATGTCTCTTGATGTATCCTTTTAATACAACTATGTCTGATTTATGATGCAGCAAAGAAACACTGTTTCTTTTTCAATTTTAATCAATGATGAATGATTTTTTGATTTTTCCAGAAATTGTTCTGCAAGATTATTACTGTACCTGTTGTGTTTATATTCCTATCTAAGTCCCTGCTTCTACTTTATGTAATCCTTAACTTTAAACAGAGCACTGGGTCTGGTCGGTTGAAATTAAGTGACTTCAAGGATCTTATGTGCAGCCTCAAGCATTGGCAATCAGCTTTTAAAAATCACACAAGGGAAAAAACAGGAATCTTAAAGGCAGAAAGACTGAGAGATGCTCTATTAGAAATTGGTCAGTTAATTTGAACTAAACCTAGACAATAATTACAATTTTATGTAAGTTTTCACTGTTAGAGTAGTGTTTTCTGGCAGTTTTTACCTTGCATTTATCTTGTTTTCAGGTTTTCAACTAAGCACAGATGTACTTTCTATTCTCATATTAAGATACATGCGGAAGGATGGAACACTACGATTTGGAGACTTTGTGTCAGCAATCTTGCATCTCAGTGTTGCTTTTAGTAGGTTCAATTCTTCACTTGATTTTGATTGCTGGAAACATTTCTGTGTATCTGAATCAATTCAAAAATATA